TATAACGCTATTTTGAATTCCATCTGATGCCTTCTCTGTATAATATATACATTAGGAACCAATGATGATAGCGGAATAAAACTTTACGCAAATACGGTATTTGATGCGAGCGTATAAAATGTTCGGTGACACCCGAACTTAGCCGTTCTTTACTTGTTTTTAGTAAAGTTAATTACAAATGTTTGCCAAAATTTCAAATGGTTTTTATTACAACGTTAAATATTATTAACGGTAGTTGAAGTGTGAGCAAAGTTGAATTTTCAGCTTATCTAGCAAGCAAGAGATGCAAAAATTGAAATTTGAAAACTGATATAGTGAAATTTCATTACATAGGTATTATTTATTTAAATATAGACAGATGAGTTCATTACACTTTCACTAAAGCTACAGATCTTCAATCACATCTCTGAACTTGTTAATAAAAGCGAATTTTTCCAGAATTGAGGATCTACCGCCTAAGGATATGCTACAAAAATGCGCTAATATTATATTTGTGACGGTTGTGGAAAGATTTTAAGATGAAAAGAAAGTTGTTTTGAAAAAGAATTTTCGCCGCAGCTTGTTTTCGCTGTTGACTTTAGAGAAATATGATAAATACATGTTCTGAATTTGGCTTCAAAAGTTGTCGAAATTGATATGATGAATATAATTCGAAAATATTTTCGAAAGCACTAATTTCGTTGCTAACCAAAAGAAACATATAATAAGGAAAACACACTACCTAACTGAAATAAAGAACATTTCAATTTGGCTTAGACCAAAGTGGTTAATAATGAATGAAATTCGAAAAAGTTTTTATTTCGATCCTGAATAAGAACACAGGCCTACACTGTATTTAAAAATTTGTAGAAATGGAAATGTTGCATAAAATTCGAAAGTGATTTCGAAAGCCCGTATCTCGATGATAAAATGGTCAAGATTTCAATTTTTTTACTTTTCAGACTGAAAATAACCATACAATGAAGGAAAAATAATTTCTATTCGATTTCGTCAATAACAGATATTGGTGAATGAAATTCAAAAATAGTGTCTAAAGCATTTCAATACTGAAGGTGTCAGAAATCGTATATTTTTAATTATCAAACCGAATTGGAACACAGACTACAGAACTGAAATAAAAAACATTTAAATTTTACTCAGGCTTAAAAATAAAATTCGAAAATATCTTCGAAAGTCTTTATTTGGAGCCACATATTGAATCTTTTAAGTTTTCAAGCCGAAGAGAAACACAGAAAGAAGCCTAAATTTTATTTAAAAATTTTTAGAAATCAATATGGTGAATCAAGATCGAAAGTGATTTCGAAAGCAATTATTTCGATGATAAAATGATCAAGGTTTCAATATTTAGCTTTCAGAGTGAAAATGAACACACAATGAGGGGATAATCACTTCAATTGTTTTTCGTAAATAGGGGTTTTTACTGAATGAAATTCGAAAACGGTTTCGAAAGCACTTATTTCGCTATTAAAAGAAGTACTTGGGCGCAGAATTTAACGTTTTCAAGTTCTAAATGAAATTTGCAATATCTCTTAGATGAAAATCAACTTCTTAAAAAGGGATCGTTCGAAATTCTTGTTATTCTATGTTTTTGAAAAAAATACTAACAAAAAATCGCTTTCTTTGCTTTCTTCTATTCATTAATTAAATCGTGTTTAAAATTTCCACGTTCAAGTTCAACCAGATTATAAAATAGCTAGAGACACCGAGTCGATGGCTTATCAGCAAAAACTGACCTTTGACCATTGGCTGGCGAGCGGAACGTGCCATGCAGTGTACACATGAAAATTGAAATTTCATGAGAGACAAAATGAATTTTAAAACGCATTGCTTATAAATATATGTATATACATATAAGTATGTATATATAAATATGTGTATCAAAATATTGTAAATTAGGTGCAGTGGACCTTTGAAATGCACTCCAAGTAGCGCAGACAGTTCAACAACTTAAAGTAGGCGCGTTATTGTATTTATTTTAATTTCTTTTGATATTTTTCTTTTTTTTACAAATAAAACTCACACATAAATTCATCAAGTTCAGCACTCAGCTTCTGCGCTGTCCGCCCATTTTTACACTCAACATTCGACGGCGTTGAGACGCGTTCCAAAGCGTCCGCCCAATGTTGTGAACGATTGTCGGTGGCCGTTGATGAGTCATTGTTGCTATCCAAATGATTGGGCTTATCAGCCGGTAACTCAGCGGCGCAGTCGCATTCGCATTCTGGTTGCTGTGTGGACTCGGCCAGCTGTTGCTTCTGTTGTTGTTTGGCTGCTGAAAATTTCCACGAAGCACGCCAAGAGTTGCGTTTGGTGAGCACGGCCGGCGCTGTGCCATTTGTGGGCGACGGTGATTTCTTATCACTGCCGCCGCATATTTTCGGCGCAATGCTGTAGTTGTGCAATTTGAAAATTTTCAAATTTACGGAATATTTCGAATCTTTCGCGGGCACTTTCATTTTGTGGTTAAAAATAAGCACTTTTTGTTGAATAAAATTTAAAAAATAGTTATTTTAATTATAAATAGCAGTTACGTTGTGGAATACAGCTGTATGGTCGAAAAATATCACAGTGAAATTTTTTGGAATAAATTTTTATTATTTTTAATTTAATATTAA